CCCCTCTCTCTCTCTTCACCCCTCTCTCTCTCTCTCTTTATTACATGAGGGGGGCATGGACAAGACCAGTCAGCCTTCACAAGGGGAGAGAGCAGCCGTGACTGATCTGTATTACAGGAAAGGGGCGGAGACGAGACCAGTCACCCTTCACAAGGGGAGAGAACAGCAGTGACCGGTCCTTGTTACAGCTCGCTGAGATTCCCGGAATAATACTCGTGACTCTTGTATGTAGATGATGATTGCTGATCCCAGAGCCCAACTTTATTTTGCTCCTGATTGTGTTTCCCTCCACCCGCTGAGCGGTGATGTATTTTCCGAAACTTTTCTCTTTTTTTGTTTCCTTTGTTCCTCATCAGACTGGCTGACAGCTCATTTGTAACCTGTCACCGTTATCTCCGTTTCCACTCAACATTTGTCTCTTGTAGAAGCTTCTCGCCCCTGGAAAGTCATTACGGCTGAAATCTCCGCGCTCGGTGTCCGTTTCCTGCTGCGGCATAAACCGCTCGGTGTGATGTATTGTTCTCCTGTTTGGGTGTTGAATGGGTCATGTGACTGGGGGCCGCAAGTAGCTCTTTGGGCGCCATTCTTTGCTGGACCCTTGCTCATGTTGAAGGTTCACCAATCATTTTAATATTCATTTTATGGTTATGGGCCATCAGTACTTTTGGATTTCGGTGCTATGTGGGCGGAGCCAGTGCTGCCATGAGAATATAAATCACACATTCATGAGTAACCCTGACCGTTTTCTCTCTCGTAGAGTTACCGTGACCTGGCTCTGGTCAGCAGAGATGGGATGAACATCGTGCTGAACAAAATCAACCAGATCTTGATGGAAAAGTACCTGAAGCTTCAAGACACGTGCCGGACGCAGGTAGGTACATTCAGCGACGGGAGTGTGAGACACAAACATTTTACGTAAGATTCACACTTTGCGTTTACTAGATGTTAACATTGCTGGCTGTCCAACAACATGGCAGCATGTCCTATGACCGTAGGAGCGTGTGACGTTAGGGCCACACCTCCTGACGCTCATGAGAAGCCCCTGAAATGTCCCATGTGCTGCTTCTTTTGGGGTTCCGGTGCTCTCGTCATTGAAGAGACCTACTTGCATGTGAACGAGGTTTGCAGTGTCAGTGCACACAGGACGACAAATTTCTTCTTATACAAATCCCGCCAACCCACCACCCCTAGCCCCTAAACCTAAACCAGACACCCCCCACCTTGGTGACTACCTTATCTCGGCCTTGCAACAGCAGTCTTCTCCATTGTGCATCCTCCTCCGACCCGACACCTTTCCCAGGATTCTGGGGGTGCCGATCCATTTAAGCCCATGGTAAGTCACTTCATCCTTCTCCGGCTCTATCCACATCCGTGAACACCAGAAGAGACCGCTCCTGTCAAGCAGAGGTTAGGAAGCACCTGGGTGGGGGTCTGATTCAGATTAGGTTGGGGGGCCGTTTATAGAAGGTAAATGTTGTGCAGACCTAGTCTATGCAACCTGATGGCTGGCTGCTCTCTCTTGGCGCTAACCGGTATGGCGTCCTCTCTTTGCAGCTGATCTGGTTGGTGCGGGAACTGGTGAAGAGCAGCGTGCTGGGAGCCGACGGCGTTTGTATGACCTTCATGAAGCAGATCGCAGGTGAGTGTTACATATCCCAGGCTGGGAATGTCACAACTATAATGTTCACAGGAAACACAGGAGGCTCATCAACTCCCTGGAATGTGTGGGCGCCATCCTGTGCCATCCATCCCGTGCCATCTGCCACATACTTGTCCAGCTGAATCGGTGAATTCTGATTTTGCTTGGAAGTGTTAGGCTTGCTTGATTTACAGACTACCTGCCCTCAGCAGCCAATCACACCTCAGATCAGCTCCAATTCCTGCACCTTCATCCCTCAGATCAGCTCCAATTCCTGCACCTTCACTCCTCAAATCAGCCCCAATTCCTGCACCTCCGCCCCTCAGATCATCCCCAATTCCTGCACCTTCACCCCTCAGATCAGCCCAATTCCTGCACCTTCCCCCCTCAGATCAGCCCCAATTCCTGAACCTTCACCCCTCAGATCAGCCCCAATTCCTGAACCCCTCAGATCAGCCCCAATTCCTGCACCATCACCCCTCAGATCACCCCAATTCCTGCACCATCACCCCTCAGATCAGCCCCAATTCCTACACCATCACCCCTCAGATCACCCCCAATTCCTACACCATCACCCCCAATTCCTGCACCTTCACACCTCAGATCAGTCCCAATTCCTGCAACATCACCCCTCAGATCAGTCCCAATTCCTGCACTTTCACAATTCAGATCACCCCAATTCCTGCACCTCCACCCCCCCTGATCCGCCCCAATTCCTGCACCTTCACCCCTCAGATCAGCCCCAATTCCTACACCATCACCCCCAATTCCTGCCCCTCCCCCCCCCCTGATCCGCCCCAATTCCTGCCCCTCCCCCCCCCCTGATCCGCCCCAATTCCTGCCCCTCCCCCCCCCCTGATCCGCCCCAATTCCTGCCCCTCCCCCCCCCCTGATCCGCCCCAATTCCTGCCCCTCCCCCCCCCCTGATCCGCCCCAATTCCTGCCCCTCCCCCCCCCCTGATCCGCCCCAATTCCTGCCCCTCCCCCCCCCCTGATCCGCCCCAATTCCTGCCCCTCCCCCCCCCCTGATCCGCCCCAATTCCTGCCCCTCCCCCCCCCCTGATCCGCCCCAATTCCTGCCCCTCCCCCCCCCCTGATCCGCCCCAATTCCTGCCCCTCCCCCCCCCCTGATCCGCCCCAATTCCTGCCCCTCCCCCCCCCCTGATCCGCCCCAATTCCTGCCCCTCCCCCCCCCCTGATCCGCCCCAATTCCTGCCCCTCCCCCCCCCCTGATCCGCCCCAATTCCTGCCCCTCCCCCCCCCCTGATCCGCCCCAATTCCTGCACCTTCACCCCTCTGATCAGCCCCAATTCCTGCGCCTTCATACCACAGATCCCTGCACTGCACAATCTAACCTCAAACCAGCCCCATTATCTGCACCATTACAAGGAAGGCCTGGACAGGTAAAGGGAAGAGGGCCAGCACCTGAATTTCAGAGATTTTAGGCAGGTTTCTCTAAAACAATATGGCAGTGGGTGGGCCACGGTCTCAGAGGAGCTGGCCAGGTTTTGCAATTGGCAGCCTAGTGAGAACTGTCCATTATAGCCTATGGCTACGGCACTGCATTTGGAAAGGGCTAGGAGCCCATCGGAGTATGCTCTTGCAGGCCAACCTGAGCCTGCTCACATGCCGAAAGACCACCGTCCAGGTGCCACTACAAATGACATGCCGTGCCTGGTCTGGCATGCATGCCTTGGGTTACCTGTCCCTGTTCTAGACTGCGGAAAGCAGGAACATTTCATCAGCCGGCATTCCCCTGTCATTTGAGATTATTATAAGAGTGCACAATTGTTATTTTAAGAAATTTCGAGAATGTCGTTGTTCACGATCCAATGACAGCAGATGTAAAGCCCGAGATCCCAGCAGCCTATGCCTTCAGTAAATGTTCTGAGGGTGCTTACAGGAGGACGCACGCTGAGGCTGCTGTAGAAAAGTAGACATCCCCGTGAGCATCCTCAGTATGCCATTCAGACGTGCACGCTCCCCTGGTAATCCATGCCAGCTGCTCCTGACGAAGGAGATGTCGTCTTTCATAGAAATGCCTTTAAAGAGCCACGTGTGTCACTTTGAGGAAATAGAAGCTAATCGGAACCGGCAGGGCCCTCGATGCGGCTCAGATCCAAAAAAGAAAAAGGATAATCGGTTATATTTGCAATTTATTTCTTGATTTGCGGGGCTTGAAATATTTTAGTCAGTCAAAAATGTCACCAGTCAGCATGACCGGACTATTGCCTTGCAATTTATGTTAACATTTTTTGGCGACACATAGAGCTTTCTTTTGGTGGTATATAATCACCATGGGGGGGTTATTTTCTACTAAATAATAAAAAAGTACCGTATATTTTAAAAATGTTTTCTCTACGTTATGTTAAAAAACATTTATTGTTACCCATATTTTTGGTAAAATATAAAAGTCGGGGTCACGTCGGTTAAATAGACACCACACATGTGAAGGCTTAAAATTGCGCGCACCCGCAAAATCACAAAAAACGACCACATCGGAACTTGGACATAGGCGACGCTTTAAAAGCTTTTACCGCTCATCAGTTTAGTGTTATCAGTGATTAATGGCCCTAAAATGATCTCACTCCGACGTTCGCGGCAAAATGTAACGGTACAATAGGCAAAATCGTAGTTTTCGCACTTAGGCGCACCCAATGCATGTTTGTGTGTGTATGTAGGGGGCAGGGGACTTTAAAAATAAACAATTTTTTTTTATGCTTTTATTTTTTATTACTCTTTTTTTTTCACACTTAACTTTATTGCTATCACATAGGGGGATAAGAAGTTCCCTATGTGATAGCCAATTTACATGGTCTCCAAAACCTCTGTCACCTAGGGACCCCCAGAGAAGCTGATGAAGCAGAGATCTGCTTCTGAATCTGGAGAGTGACAGGAGAATGCGGAAGTGATTTAATATACATCACTTCCTGCATTCGGGGACCGGAGAGGAGATCATAGGGAGATTGTGTACCGATCTCCCTTTGATCTCCTGCCACAGAGCAGCCGTGCCGCACCGGGCACAGCGGATCTCGGGACCGGCAACGGCAGTGACAGCCGCTCCTATACAAGCGATCCGGCGTCTCTAGAGACACCCGATCGCTTGAATAAAAAGCTCCCGGCTGTTTAATTACAACGGGAAGCTACTCGTCCGGCTCTGGCGTCCTCTTGGCACAGACAGATTTTTCAAGCCGTGTTGGTTTGCTTAGACATATTAAAACCCGTCTTAGAGTTTAGCTTTAAGCCTTTTATATGTTTTAAAAAGTGAAATGATATGTTAAAATATCCAAATGGCACCACTGATGCCCTCTGTCACCCCCCTCCCCATGGCTTGTAGAGCGTGATACACAACGGGATGCTAGTCGTGCGTCCGTATCCATCAGCCGTGCGTGCGCATTGGGTTTTCATGAATCAAGTACCAATTGTAGAAATGATTCCGATGTAAGTGTGTGACAGTCTGACCGTGAATGGATTAAACAGGGATGGTAGCAGATGAGAGCCGGCGGAAGGGGCATCACGTGAAATGCGTTGGAACTGCCACAAGCTCTCGGGTATGGGCGCCGGTAAGCTTAGCCAGGTGCGGGGATTATGTATTGTGCGCTATGTGCCCCGGTGACAGCGATATAAGCCGATGTGCGCTCACTCGAACACATTCTGCCAGCGGGGAGGTCTCGATAACGCTCCGTGTCTAATGCTCTGGGAGAATATGATCACAGATCCTGTCACTTGGGAACTGCAGGGACGCACGGTAATGTAGGATGTAATTACTGAACTGCTTTAATCTCAAGAAAATGACATTCTTTGTTTTTTTTTTTCCTCCTCTCTCTCCCCCTCCTTCCTCTTCTCTACCTCCCGCTCCGTTCTCCCGTATTCTGACTACAGGGGGCGACATATCCTCCAAGAATATCTGGCTGTCTGAAGGTGTGCTGGACATCCTGATGGAGCAGAAGTAAGTCACCTAAAATCAACCTGTCTCTACTGTAATCGCACCAACCAAGCTGCATCCTCATGATGATGTCATCAGCCTCTAATGGATGGATAGGCTGCGTTCATGGTGATGTCACCGCTGTCTAGTGATTGGATAGGCTGCATTCTCGGTGATGTCACTGGTCTCTAGTGAATGGATTGGCTGCGTTCTCGGTGATGTCACTGGTCTCTAGTGAATGGATAGGCTGCGTTCTCAGTAGGGCTGCAAATCGATTATTGAAAAAGTTGTTAATTTTTCAATCATCGATCTATTCTGCATTGCGCTGTATAGAGGACTACAAATCCCAGCAATAATACATTATACAGTGGTGCAATGCGGAATACCACTATCTATAGAGGACTACAACACCCAGCAATAGTACATTATACAGCGCAATGCAGAATACCGCAAGCTATATTGTACTATTGCTGGGATTTGTTGTATTCCTCTATAGCCGGTGGTATTCTGCATTCATTACTTCCACCGCTCCAAGCTTGCTCCTGTGATGGACTGCAATCTCAATACAAACTAGTAGTCCATCACTGGAGACATTTTTAAAAATGTATTTTATTTTTTAACCGATTAATCGAACTTAATAATCGGCTAACTAATCGATTTTGAAAATAATCGTTAGCTGCAGCTCTAGTTCTCAGTGATGTCACCGCTCTCTAGTTAATGGATAGGCTGCATTCTCAGTGATGTCACCGGTCTCTAGTGAATGGATAGGATACATTCTCAGTGATGTCACCGCTCTCTAGTGAATGGATAGGCTGCATTCTCAGTGATGTCACCAGTCTCTAGTGAATAGATAGGCTGCATTCTCAGTGATGTCACCAGTCTCTAGTGAATGGATAGGCTGCATTCTCAGTGATGTCACCAGTCTCTAGT